ATATTTGAAGCTTGCTGTGCCATGTCTGGTTGCTGAGCTGGATCCATCTTTTGCTCTGCTGTTGCTGTCGGCTGCAAGTGCGGTGCTTCATTTGCATTTGAATGTTGCTTTTCCATGTCTGGTTGCTGAGCTGGATCCATCTTTTGCTCTGCAGAGCCTGGGTGCTGTGCAAGAGTTGCCGCAATTGCCATGTCTATGTCTTTATATGCAATTGCAATTGGCTGTTTGTGCGGTGCGTCCGGTGGAAGCCAAATGATGCGAGGGTCATTCTCACGTGGCAGTGAATCAGCATTGGATGCTGAGTTGGTGAGGATCTGATAGTAGAGATGGACGTCGAGGCATCTCTCAGTGCAACCATAGAGCGCATCCTGCTTGACATCCGCAGTGCTGTTCTGCACAAATGTCTCAAAGGCCTGCCAAGCTAACCCAGACACCACAGGATGAAGCATGCTTGCTGTTACTGTACTGTATTTACTGTACAGTACAGTAGTTGAAACATGATTGAACACCTTGTGAAACCAATAATTGATGTCTTATTGAAACCTACCCAAAAGACTGCAGTTAGAATATGTTTGTGTTGCCTCGTCGCTGATGCTGCAGCGAATGCAAAGATTAAGCGTGCACCCCAACCAGCTTAGTTCACAGATATCCAGTGTCAGGAACTGTTTGGCTTCCGAAGCCATTTGGACCAGGACTGGCTGATCCAGCGGTGTTGATGCGATTGCCAATTCACGAAGAGCCATGGCCTGCTCTGACTCCCATTTTTGGGTCCGTGCGTTCAAAGCAAACCCAGCGCTGCACCTGTGGACCTGTGACCATTGCTGAAACCTGAGAGTGCCAAGGATGCTGTGATAAGCGCACAGCCCATCTGGTGCTGCACAGTACTTCCGGAATGGCTTCAGCCTATCACATGTGAACTGCGCCTTCGCCTTCAACACGGTCTCTTGCAGATGTTCACCAACAGCCTTGCACACCAAAGCAGCCACCTGATACAGTACAGCAACCCTGTGTAGGTGATTCTGGATTGAATGCATCAACACAAGTACTACTTCACTGTACAATACAGTATTGCTGTACTATGCTGCTTTCTTCCAACCATGGTCCCACATGCGGTACTTTGGTAAAGACACCAAAGACATACAAAAGTGCAATGTGTAAGTGGTGTACTATTCAATGTGACTTTGGGCAACCCAAGCCTGATCGACAAAAGACACTCCCACCCTAGATGCTTCTGACACCAAAAAGCTATCATCCTTCTTGCGGTTGCATTTCCTCCAGTCAATACTAACTGGATGGAAACATGCCTCCCTCTCAGAGCCAAGTCCAGTGAACTCCACATGCCAAGAATGTGGCTGCGGAAGCCCATTGAAGACCAAGAAGAGCAACGTGGCCTCTGCTGTAGGTGGTAGCTGGAGCATAGTGTCACTGTACTTGGAATACTGATCAGGTGTATCCCAAACCACTAGACCAAGGACATCATATTGTAAATCATTCCACCTGCTAGACACTTCTGGAGTTTCCAGCACATCGCCCACTGTTGAGCCCCAAATAACATCGCAAATGTTTGAGTTCTGGCCTGCAAGAATGCCAACCTTGATCATTCCTGGTTGGTCTGACGCTGGTGACATGCCCGCCAAGCGTTTGACAATGCCCGTGTAAATGCGAAAGTGGCTAGTCTCCAGCTGCAGTCCTGTGAACTCACTTGAAGCCAAGAAAGAAGAGGTTACATCCTGGTACTTCTCCAGATTGCCTGTTGAAGCATTGCCAAGATCACGCGCCAAAGTATTCAGCTCAGGTGTGGCAAGTGCAGCAAGGGTTTGCAAGGCCTTGTCAGCCTGAATCTGCTCCCGGCTGCCCATAGCAACCGTTTTCATGGACTTGTCCAGTTTGCCACCCTGCAGGGAAGCAGCTCTGCCAATATACAACATGGGTTGCTGTCCTTTTGTGTATAAAATGGGTGGCTCACAACACATATCATGACATTACTGTATTTATCTTGCTTTTTTGAACCATAGAGATCAAAGCGGTTCATAATTTTGTTTGCTGAAGACTTGAAAGCTTCACAAGCGCATATGGTCACACCCTCAGACCCAAAGCTGCTCACCATGAATTTTCGATAGCCTCCCTCCAAAGCCACTTTGAAATGGTGCTTGAACTGGGTGATCGATTTGCTCAAGACCACCTTTTCCTCTCCCT